CTGGAAAAAAAAACACATTGGATCTAGAGTCCAGACTCTTGAAAACATTGACAAGAAAAAATACTCTTGATTCAATCGGATTTTTGCTTGAATCAAAACGAAATCCGCTTATATTAAGAGACTTGGTTCTTGATTTAAGCTAGATTCTGATTGAATCAAGAGTACTTTTTCTTGTCGATGTTTTTAAGTCTGGACTCTAGATCCAATGTGTTTTTTTTTCCAGTGCCGGCACTGCTCCATGGGAATCGGCGCCATTTTTCGTGACGGGAAGTAATACCTAGTTTCTCAATTTTTTTTTTATGTATCATTTCTACCTTTTTCTTCCTATTTTGTCCACTTTAGGTAATGCCTGTAGGCTTGTCTTTGAGAAATTAATATCTTTACGGTTTAAAACCCTGCAACGTACTTTTATTAAATGACTCTTTCAAGCATCGTTCAAATTTTTTGTCGTCGTAGTTCTAGAAAAATCTTTGGGTACAAAGTACCCTTTTCACCAATGACCCCTATATTTTACTCTATGAAGACAAGACATTTCTTATATAGATGTATGTTTCCTAGATTACGCTCTACGTTTAGTTCAACAGCGTCTTGCGGAGCTATCTTATTCCGTCCGCGCAAAACCACTTTTATGTATTGACGAGGTGCTACGGTGAACGCTCTCCAACGTCTTAACGTTGGAACCGTCGTCTTGTATGATACTTCCGGAGGATTTTGATAAAAATATGCTCTTTTGCTCTTCAGAATTTCAAGAAAAGATATCCGTGACTCTTTTGGAAAATTCATAACGTATCAATGAAAATGTGGCAATCTTTGAATACTTATACGATGTTTTTTCTTTAACACGGTAGCGTTGGGATCCTCGCTGTGGCACGTATGCCTCCCGTCAAACGAGCCACCTAGTTCCGTCTGTCTGTCCCAGTGACGTTTCCAACACACAGTTTCTCGCGAGGAATTCGCTCGCGGAAATGTTATGAAGCGACGGCGCGCGGCAGCGTGAAAAACGGCGAAAATGTGCCAAAATCTGGGTCTCCTCAACGAGATTTACACGGCAGCCATATTTTTGTGATTGAATATGATCCGGTCTTTGATCGTATATTCTACACATGGAAAAAAAGCTTAGCGCTGAGCTTTTACACTTTAGACGGGATGTTGGAGTTTTTTAGCCAACGTGCGCAGAAAGTTCAGCTTAAAGCTGATATCTTATTACAGAGGGAAAAAGCTCACACACAAGCACAATTTTCTCTCAAAGAGTACGCTGTTTGGAGCAACACTAGTTACGTCAATTCCATTCAGGTAGTGTTGCTCCAAACAGCGTATCTCTCATAAATGGGACGTATTTCTGTCAAACGGAACTGTGTGTAACAAGACATGAGCCCTGAGACCCATAAGAATACATGCATTACAGGGCTCACGTCATAATGCACATAGTTCCGTTTGACAGAAATACGTCCAATGGAGGAGTTTAGACCCCCTCCCGCGGGATCATCCCTCAACCCTACTTACGCATATTTCCTTGAAAGATTGGTAAGGCTACAACAGGAAGCAAGTGCCAACGTCTTTGGAGGTTTTCTGCCAATGACGATGGTTTACAAAAACGGAACTGAAAAAGTTCCTCATGTGGAACTACTTGGTCTCGCGCTCTGCTTCCCCCGGATCAGGAGTTTCCGGAGACCCGACAAATTGCGCGTCCGCTGATTATGAGCTCATTCGTAAAAGTAAGAGTTCTTTTCCGCTCACGCATTAATCCGGCGACCGTCTAGCGTGAATCTGCCCACAGTGGGTCGAGTCAATTGGAGAGGTTGAACAAAATTTGGAATCTTTCAAAGCTTATAACTCCATTTATACACAACTTTAGAGAGTCTAATAGTGGTTTCGTTGGTTTTCTCGTGAAATTTTCTACGAGGAGCACTCCATAAAATTTCAAAATTTTTAAAATAAACATGAAAATTTTCAGTTTTCGTCAGAAATTTCGTGTCCGACCTCTCGGATGTACTCGATACACTGTGCGGCCGTTCATTAATGTGTACATGCAGTATACGTAGCCGAAAGCAGTAAAACAGGGGTGAAAATTTGCGATGACTTCAGTTACTTTGTCAAGGCATCAATTAGGAGTCTGAAAAGAACTCTACCGGGACTGGAAACATAAGAAAAGGCCCCGAAAGTGTAACCTCTGAAACTTTTGGTTTTTGGAGTCACCCACTGCTCGAGCATACGTACCACGTATCTTTTTTTTAAAGTTTACATAATTCTCCTATCGTGTGCGTAGGCGGAATGGCTCTAAAAATGTCGAACAAGTGAGAACTTATAATTCTTACCAGCGGGATTTTCTTTTGACAAAAATAGAATACGCAATGTTCTCCTTTACTTGAGCTCCAATTCGTGATTGCATATGAGGGCATCGTTTAATAGCCTTAACACTATTGAACTCATCTTGTGATCATCAATTTCGGCTACTGTAATTGTTCAGTTTCAAATCAAGGGATAGGAAGATGATCTACTCCGTATGAAAAAGAGAGAAGGAGAATGGTAATTAATTATTCAATTGAATGTTTTTTGATCTTTAAATTCTTCGTTCAAGATTCAAAATTGTACTGTTTCAATCTTAAAAACAAAGACTGGGCAAAAATCATTTATTTAATACTACGTCCATAGCCTCCTCGCTAGTTCTGACAATGAGACTCAATACAGAATGAAGAGAACGACTGCCTGCCAAGAGTGAGTGCATGGCGGTTACATAGGTGACATGTTTGTTGCGTCCTACAAAATTGAAGGATGTTAAGGAAACGAAACTATAATCATAAATTTTCGTAACACTAGCACCTCGCACACAATGCGATACTAGTAGAACACTACTGATTGTGATTTTTATTTTATAAACTCAGTGAACTTATTATTTGGAAATTGTCTCGAAAATTTCGTCCTTCTTTTAAAAGGGCAAAAAATTACGTCTATAAACCAATAGTATTCCATTGAATAAGAAAATTTGTCACGTAATCTAATCGCCGCGCCGCATTGAAAGTATAATAAAGTAATAAATACTAGTAATTCCAAGAGGGTAATCTCCTAATCCGTTGAAATATACATGCATGAAGATCTTTTTAAATAAAAATGTCACCTTGGAATTTTGCGAGTTTTTCATTGATATACTTTGCTAACTTACAGAGAACATCTTACTTTTAATTACTTGTTTGTTTACTGTATACCTTGCAGTTCACTGTGCATTTTGTGTCAATATTAACGATTTTTAGAATCGACAAAACTTTGAAGCTAATTTTGGTCATTGCTTGTTTTTCAAGTAAATTTTACACCAATTTTCAATGCAACATGCAAGATTTTCGGCTGTGCGTATTCAAAGAAAATTTTTCTAAAAATTGAACATTTAAAATATGTAGCTTCAAAACTGCATGAGAGCGTCTGTGTACATTTATATTCCTACACTCATGGTAATATCAAGAGGAGTTTAATTCAAGGAGAGTTTTCGAGTGTATGTCCTGAAATTTCAGCAGAAGAGACGGTAGCAAAAACTAAATTATAATGTCACCCAAAATGTTACAGAAGTACACCATTCTGCAAGTTTTGCTTATAAAAACACGTACTTGAAGTTTATACTCTCGTTTTTATTGTGGTAGAAATGTACATTTCTCCTGAGTATTTAATCTACATATTTTTCATTAATCCTCAGAAGACTAGCCGTTTCTTATGATCTATATAAAATGTAATCTGTCATTGGTGACATAGGTCGTCCAAAGATGCAAATAGGCTCTTCGTGTGATTTGTTAAAACTTTAGAACTTGTAAATCTGTAAAATAAGAGGTGATATAATGTCCGTATTACATCGAAAACTTCTGACCTCTTCATTTAATAGTAAATCATTCTCAGTCAACGGTGAGCAAAAATGAAGAAAACTAGCCTATTGAGAGGAAAGGGGGGAGAGGGAAGGAGAGAGGGGGAGATAGAGAGAGAGAGAGAAAACGAACGCTCATGAAGATTACATCGATGATATGCTTGTTGCATCTTAAAAAATTGAAGGGTTTTAGATGACCACGCTTGATGGTAACTCCAGAAGTTGACGTCTATTCATCGATTGGAAAAAAAAAAACTTATAGGTAAGCCAATACATACCCTTAGAAATGATTCATATAATTTGTGCTAATCGATCTCCCATCTATGAGCTATTTCCCATATTTTTGCTTGATTTAGTTTGTTTTTTGAATTTTTTTGTCAACACTATTAACCAGATGTTCACATTCGATGGCGTCGGGCATGAAATCTCTGCGGAATATCATTCAAACTTATTCTCTGATGATTCACAAAAACAGTAAAAATTGGGAGTCGAAGAGATGCTTCTAGGCAAATAAAAAAAAAAAAAAACCTTAGAAAAATAGTACGTTTACTGTTGGTATGGTCCAATTTCTAACTAAGTTTTGCAGCCATGATGTACAAAATTTGCCCAATTTAAAGGCGTATCAGTACACAGCAGTGAGTACTATTATTACACGGACACGGATTTCTCCTAGTAATAGCACATTGAATAATAGTGAGAAAAACGTACACATCCATGTATAAATAATAATTGACTTTAATAGCGTAGTACCTTAAAATTAGAACACTGGTATTAAAATGCATAATAAAGCTAATTATAATATTGATATGCGATCCTAAAACCCAAAAAAACCTTCACCTCTAAAATCACCCGATGATAATGGGTCAGTTGCGCTGGTCACATGCAGAATCCTGTTTTGGTGCTATATTCTTGCAGATCAACTAAAAGTAATAAGATCCGTCCAAACAGCAACTTTCTATATTCAATATTAACCGAGATATCGCGCCTTGAAAAACTCGATGTATGACGTCATCCACCGCGGTAGCAAATACCATGTTATGCACCGCCACGGTGGATGACGTCAAAAACCCGACTTTTCAAAGGACCATATCTCGATTAATATTCAACGTAGAAAGTTGCTGTTTGGATTGATCTTCTTATTTTTAGCTAATCTACAAGAATCTAGCATCCAAACACGATTCTGTTACCAGCGCAACTGGCCCATTTTTATAAATTTTATGCAATCAACAAGTTTGTACAACTAAAAATAATTCTATGATATTTCATTAATTTTACAATTTGTTAATTATCCTCATCGTTTTCAATGATCCTTCCTAAAATTCATTATCCATCCAGTAATCTGAATCCGCTGGTGAATCGATAAGGGTGCCCCTCATTTCGTTCTTGATGACCTGGTCGGACGCTCCGTGATATACGGGGTCATCAAACTTCTTCATCATCTCCATATTCACGCAGAGGATCAAAGTCTTATGGTTGAAAACGTCGATTACCACCCTCCCCTCTTTCTTATTCAGCTCGTCCTTCTTGGCGTTCAGATACTTCATGGCTTCCACCGAAGAGGTATTCTTGAGCGTTTCGAACTCTGTGCAATCGATTCCGTGCTCTTTCAGGGCATCGCAAAACTCTGGCGTCGTTTTGCAATGGCACAGACTATCTGCTGACGGGGGTTTTTTTACGCGTCGGCGCATAAATGGGAAATACCCTTCACTGGTGGTCTGTATCTCACCGACGGTGATGGGTACAATTGCCCTTTGTGTATACTGGGCGTTTTTGCCATCTGGATCGGTCGGATCTGAGGGAATGGATTTGTAGAGGTATCCGTAGATGTGAGAGCATTTGTTCTCGCAGGTGTGTCTCAGTTTTTCTTCAGCTGAAAATGTCAATAAACAAGCTTGCTAATATATTTTTATTGACTCCTGCAATCACTTTTTATTAGGTAATTCTTATCAACAGAACGTATGTAATAGGAGATAAGCCGATAACGGGTGTCGCTCCTAAATTTTGTCAAGAAGAGCTAGACAACATCTCATGGCCACTTAGGCGATTAGGGAGGAATAAAAATATTTTTATCGACTCTTGCAATCTCTCTTTATTAGGGAATTCTTATCAACAGACTGTATGTAATAGGAGATAAACCGATAACGGGTGACGCTCCTAAATTTGTCAAGAAGAGAGAACAACGTATCTCATAGCCACTTAAGCGATTAGGGAGGAATAAAAATGAAAAAGTAGAATGAGTTTTAGTTAAATATTATTCTTGTAATTGATTAGTTATAAGACACCTGTAACCTGTACCATATTATGACAAATAAAGATTTAATATAATAATAAAAAAATGTATATTTTTTCCGCCACAGAATCCTCGAAGCACTGGTCAATATTGATCCTTTACGGGAATAATTCTTTTTAAAATGAAAATATGAATGATCTTGTCGCAAACTTCATCTAGAGCAAAAAGAAAAGTTATTTCCTGTATGAAAATGGCTCAAAAATCACGATGAGCACACCTGGAAAGTCTGAAATACATCCTCTTATTTCACCATCTGCGTGAGAAATATGCGTTTTTTAAGCTTATCGTTTCAGAATATAGTCGATGAATGGTTAAAGTTTTGTATTGCTTACGTGTTCGGTCTCGAGGAAGGGGGTCATTTGACTGGTAGTCTTCCTCAGTGACATAGAATTTATCCAGGAAATTATTTGATTCCGTCGGAGACCGGGCACGAGCGCGGTTGAGCTCGTTGTAGTCGAACAAGTCAAGAAGAAGTTGTCGTTCTCTAGGGACGGTCACTGAAAATTAAATTCAATCCTTTTCATAACTTCGTTTTACAAGCGAAAAAAGTGCAATTATAATCCGGTGTTGCATAATTCCCACTCGTAATTTGTAATTACACAGGACATTGTTAAGCATATCGGACTGAATATTATTTCACTGGCATATTTCCTTTTGATTAAAGGGATTGCATTTTACAAAAACTTTTAAAAAAACATTTAAAAAACTCTTAAAAAAACATTTTTACGGGTTGCCGTTAGTGTGTCTACTACTTATCTCCTTTGTCCATTGCAGCCTCCTATGCCTCCATCAATACGATCACTTTATTTCCCTTTTGTCTATAGCTTTGTCTATCAATTTCAATAATCAGCCCGCAGCAAAACTTTTGTTTTGGAAGAAAGTAAAAATTATAACTCTGATGAACTGGCTTACTAGAAAGGAGATCTGAACGAGCATGAACAGAAATAGAAGTTAACAAATAGACAGTGGGTCATATAACTATTGAGCAGAAATCCTCTGAATTTATTTAGAAAGTACCATAGCGTACCCATGGAGGACGGGTCTAGGAGGCATACATTTGTGTTTTTCTTGAATTAACAGGAATTTAACCTTAAAAAATCTCATTTACCATTATTTCTTGGGAGTGTTTACCCCTAGACCCATTTCTTACCATTCAACGTTTCTGGTTATAGATCTCCCGAAGAAAATTTCCGACACTGTAAGACACCATTTTAGTGATACATTTAAACTGTCAACAAAATTTATAAAAACATCACTAGATCAAGGAGAACTCCCAATTAGAATATCCAATAATGAAATGGGAATCTATAACTTAACAAAGGTCCACGGATATAAATGCTACAAATCACTCAAAATTAAAAATCTGGAAGGGCTTTTCATTTAATAACATAATGACAAAGTTTACGGTCTGTTAAAACTGTAAACTACTCATTACCTATCAGCTGAACTATACATTTAGGGAAAAAATTGTACGTGTAGTGTATCCTGCTAAACGATTGGTTTCTTTTTCCTCCATTGCATTTGAAACGTTACCGACGTTACGAGAATAAAAGAGCTGTAATGCCAACTTCGTACGTTGAAAATGGGAGCTGAAAATGGAGGTCACTGATACATCGTTGAGTGGCGTCCTGAAAAGTGGGCCACAGCACGCAATTTCCAGCCATCGGTGGGATCGGGGATAGTTGGTCATCATTTTACTTCTGTTCATAAAATGGCGGCCTGAGTTTTAAAGTTGCTCGTAATATTGTGTAAAGTTGTAAAGTGCAAATCAAAACATTTTTGGAATAAAATGAACAATAGCTGAAAATGAGTTTTGAGAGTCAACATTCAACAGCGACATGGATGACCCATTTTTGGGACTCTATTTTCAGCGTGTGAAGTCGGCTTTAAGTGAATGAATCGATGCATGTTTTTGTCATAGACACTCACCAAAATATGACATTAATCGGTCGTTTATTTCTTTCAAGTTTCGACGGTTTCTTTTCCTTTCTTCCCTCTTAGGTGAGGAAGGGGGTGATGGTGACGCTTGTTGACTGGGAGGCTCAATAAAATTGAGGCCAGCAAACACTAGAGCAGAAAATGATCGTAAATAATCAGAGAAATTGGGGAAGATGAGGTGTTCTAGTGTTATAGCTTCATAAAATGTAAAAATGGGCGTGATCCTTTTGAGAAAAAAGTTATTTGATGAAAGTTATTATAAAGCAAAAGGAACTAAGCGCCAAAATATTCTAACTCATGAGCCGTGGGTGCTTGTGACAAGAGCGTTGTGAACGGAGCTCATGAGTTACAGACTCAGATCCGCAAAAGGTCGTTTCTGTAGTCACCGCTGACGTCACTGGCGCTTTATAGTTTCCATTCATTCTTACGGCCCTCAACTAACGAGCATACTCCTTCTTTCCCACCCGTTTCTGGTTCCTTACAGCATGAATAGTCCAATTGAGTCAGTAAGAACGAAAAAACACCAACTCGGTAACTCGAAAATGCTCAACTTCCATTGAAGACATAGTTAATTTACATGCAGGTCATTGAAGCTAGTGCATCTGTCCCAACTTGGACCTTTAAAGTGTCCATAAGTACTTGTCTTTCGAAAGCAAAAGTATTTTTCTTAAACGAACTTCATCACCTACTGTGTAGTTTTATGTGGGTCTTGATATTTTCATTTTTCCGAGTTGGTGTGTTTTTGTTCTCGCTGATTCAATTATGAAAATTGGTAAAAATAAAATATCTACTCATGTGCTTTTCGGTTTATCATCGATGATGTTAGTGCGCTGTAAATGATATGGGCTAATGAGTGTATCGCGGCGTATTTTTTCCCCATTTGAGTGCGGTAGTCCGTTTCAAAAATGACGCACGCTATAGAGTGTTCGCAAAGTAACTTTACAGCAGGATTCTTGACAAATTGAAGGTGATCTGAAGGTGACTTTAGTTAATATTTTTTCATAAAAAATTGAAAAATGAATCGTCTCCATTAGGCATAGTTTCAAAGTACTGATAATAAAATATCGAGGAAGGTTTGACCTTAATGGTTTATCTAAAAACGCACTTGTTCTAACTGTTTCATGTCCCACGGCCGAGGAGATATTTTTCACATAAAATTTGTTATGTTCAAACTTATGAAAATGTCAATGAAAATTTTCATTGTTTCAACCCCTTGAGTGCTCCTCCACATTTTAGTGTCACCGTCCCAAAAATGAAAATATGCATGTCAATTAGATACTATCAGTTAAAGAAAAACAGTTTTTATGAAAAATCGATTTTTCATGATAGATTTTCGAAGAGAACGATAGTCGTTTCCAGCTTCACCGGCGAAAATTGAGTAGAAATAACTGAACGTGATACCTGAGAAAAAATTTGTCCCCATCCTTTCTGACGCAAAAGAATCGGATGAGCTTTACCTACATTTAATGGTGTCACATGGGCGGAAATATGCACTCGTCCGGAAAAAAACCCTGATATTAGAAACAGAGAGGAAGCTGAAATAGGCATGCAACACACGGTTACCTACATAATTTTGGCTGTTCAATCCGGATCTGACCTTAATTTTCCTCAATCGTGCACAAGCCCCGGAAAGTTTATTTTTCTCTGCAAAAGCTTGATTTTTAGGGCAAATTACGATTATTCCGGGGAAAATCGAGCTGAACTAAAAATCAGAGGTCATTTTCGGAGTCAGCGCTAAAAATCCACACGGAAACAGTGGCTACATTGCAGGCAAATTGACAACTATATGGACCGAGTCAAACAGAAAGGAATAACCAACCCACATTTTGGAAAAATGTTGAAGCTAAGAGTTAAAAAAAAGTTATGATTGGTTTTGAACTCAACCACTGCTCTACTATTTACCGCCAAAAATTCAAAGTTTTTGTTGGAGCAAATTTTGCAGGAATTGAACTTGAAGTTTATCTTTTACAATGAGTCTTATGCAGGAGCCGAACTTTAAACCTCTTTTTCTCGTTTATATCCCGATGTGGCTTGGTTCCTTTCTGTTTAACTCCGACTATATTATTTTAGAATACATTTTTGAAGATTTTTATTCATAACAGGTATCTGTCAAATATGATATGTTAGTAAGTTCTCCCATTAAACACGAATTTCTTCAATACATGCTGCACGATAAACGGCAGTTGGAAAATGTAGATGAAAGAACACAATTTTACCTTTCGAGAGTCTTACAATGCCCAATCTCATCGAAATCTGTCTCGAAAGGACTCTCCAAGTTCCGGAGAGTATTCGACACCATCGTGTTCGTAATGATTCCTTTTCGTCTGAAATTAAAGAAAGAAAATGATTAAAAATCTTAGGAATGATCGAGTAATATTTTAACTGCTGAGTAAAGGAGTAAAAAATTATGTTGAAGCTGTTTCTTTGTAAAAACTAATTATTTATGATGCGTGTTGAATTAGGACTGTATAAAACTAAGAAAACACTGCGTCCGAACAATTTGAAGCGGTAATTTTAGAAAATTCAACCTACTCAGACTTTTTGACCCTCATCATTTCCCCCCTTTCTTTATCCCTTACCTGCTCAGTGGTCAGTTATACTGACCACCTTTTTAAATAATTATTCATGGCCGTTTTGGCGCGACATACCCTTACCAACCATGTAGTTGTACTTGGGATATGGTCCAGAATATGAAAAAAAATATTTCCGGGCGATGTTATGTTGGCAATATTGTTTTATCATCTATTGTTTACCTCCGATTCGTTGGAGGTTTGGTGCTGCCGGTGTTATCTCCAGTTTTGCGGTTGTCAGTTGCTTGTGCGACGCAAATGGTTCTGATTAAGTAGTAAAATATTAAGTCAGACTATAATGCTGTGAGAATGTCATTTGGCAAGTGAAAAATTCAAAAGTTTTGATTATTTAATTCATGCTGGAACATGGTGGTTAGTATAACTGACCACCGAGCAGGCGGCTAGGAGCTGGAACTGGATACTTGTTGCTGAGTGGATTCATCCTCTCCTCATTTTGACGATTTATTTCACTTACTTGTTTCAAACTTATTTCACAAATAATTACATGACCTCGAGGTAATCAAACTTTCAGTCTGATAATTTCATTTTTTTTTATTATTATTATTTTTTTATTATTTTTTTTATCGGTAATTTTTATGATTATGTTCATATTACTTTTAATTATTGACCAAAATTATTATTTTAAAATTGCTAGTCTCATGTGGGAAAGGACCATTATCGTTACATTTCGAAAAAATGAATTTATTTCGTTGCGACTGGTCTTCGATTGCCTTCTTACTTATTCCAGTTACGCTCATATGTTCCTCACTTCAAGTTTTTTTTATATATTTCTGCTCTTTTTATACTCTTTTATAATAAATTAAACATTTTTCTAAGACTAGCTTCACTCAATTTCAAAAAACAGAGACTCTCTCACTTACAAACATGTAAGAAAAAGTGAAAAACTTACAAAATCTACGCAGTCAACATTTATAATTCACTGGTAAAGTTAGTATGGAAGGTAAGGGGAGGTCTGCGAGGAAGGGGGTGGGGGCTTGGAGGGCAGAAAGTGAATGTCTTGCGCGGATAGGTAGAGACAAGGATCATTATTTACACAAAAATAAAAAAAACACGAAAATTATATCAACATAGGTGAATAGGGAATTTGCGTATTCCTATCCTGCTCAGTGGTCAGTCATACTGACCACCCTTTTTTGTCAAAATTTTTGGGTAAAAAAAAGTCAAACAATTTTTTTTTTCACTAATTTTGAGTTATTTAGACCCGAGAGGCCATAGAAAACTTGAAATTTCAAAAAAAAGTTCAAAACCCATAATGTGTGCAGGTAAGGGTTATCTTAAAAAGTTCTGACAAGTCAGTGAACACCATTCGCCCACATTAAATGTGTGACAGCCTTGAAGCACATCGAGTGTCAAAATTCTGCACACTACTTGGGAGTGATAACTTCTAGGCGAGCCAGCTTCCCTTACACTAAACAAATAAAGTAACCTGGATCAAGCATGATGATTCTTGAATTTGCCGCCAGGAATTTTTTTTATCTTGCTTTAAGCTGACTTTTTCTTGGTACAAGAAAAATGAATGTTCGGGTTAAGCAAAAAAGTAGCTTGGCGAAAAAGTAGCTGAAATTAACCAGAAAAATTCTTGATTTAAGAGGAAATACTTCTTGGCGGCAAATTTAAGATTTTTTTTTTTCAGTGTACATTTTAAAATGTGACGTTTAGCTTTGAGTATTAGAGAAGGGCTTGCTAACGGCCAGGGAGTGCCCTCCTATAGTAATGAATAAACATCCCTGAAAGATTATATTGATTATATAAAGTTGCAACGTCTTCGTATTATATTAGAATCATAAAAGTCAAATCAGTTGAAGGAGATTTTGCAAAGATGCTAGTAATACTTACATACCCATGGTGCTCTCAATCGCGCTGCTCTGGATGAGTTTGATTCAGCATCTAAAAATAAGATAAACGCAATTCCTGAAAATTGGTATAGCATAGCATCCTCAGTGGATTAAGATTGTAATTTTAAGGAAATTGAGAATAATTTCACTTGATTTCGAAAGTGCCTCGCACAAGACATCATGATGCAACAAGAAACGTGGCCTTAGCGCAATGCATTTTATGAAATTACATTATATTGCCAAAGCTTTTCAACACGAGTGTCATCTTCAGGGCATTACACATGTACATAAAACTTAACAAAAAAAGCAGAAGATCAACCATCTCAAAGGAAGCTAGCAAGAAGCGTTCCCTCCCTCCTACAGTTACTTAATGTTTCATCTATTTCATTTAATTCCTGCATTATTTTGTGTATGCATTTTTAATGTTCTTTTTATACTCCTTCCTAAAAGCAAATATTTCAAGAAGAAGTTTTACGAATTTTCGTTCTTCTACTCATCACACGTCTACGCCCGATGCAAACTGAATATAACGAATACCCAAAGGTATTTAATGCTACGTGCCAATCAGGTTTTTTCTGACTCGAGTAGAACTCACAAATCCATCTACCAGGACGAATTTTCTGTTTTTCACAAGTTCATCAATTTTGATAGCTCGAGAAATTGATCACGTTTACATTTTTGGACAATCAAAGGGACCGAATTCTCAAGCAAATAGTACTCTCATGTCAGATGTAGGTATCCATTTTTTGCAACAGTACGCTTTTTGCAACAGCCAGATAAGCTCGAATAAAAGAGAGTGATCCGTTCGGCTATGACATCAAATATTTTACATAAACAACATATCTACTTTAAAAAAAAATAATAATAAAAAAAACTACTTTAACACACAACAAATTTCTTGTTTTTACATGTTTCCTCTCACTCCTACTCCCTAAAAAAATGCCACAAATGATGTGAAATGTTCACAAATAAGGAAAATAGTAACTTAATTTATGAAGAGTCGAGTCAAACATACCTGGGTCTTTTCGCAGACAATCACAACTAAAAATAATACTTAGAGCAAGAAAACTCCAGACTGTTACGTTCAGAATTTGCATTATGGTTTTTAATACATAACTGAGTAGCAAACATACACAATGGTTTTTTTTCCAAACACAAACTTTGAAGGTGAATCAAGTGTTTAACGTATACAACATTGAAGATAAAAGTTGGTCTCAAGAGCAGAAACAAGTAGCGTTCTTTCATTCGGGTAAAACCAGCGACCAACGATAGTTCCAATAGAAAAAAATGCAGTCATGCGCAAACATTCTACGGCTCTACTATGGACTAGACACGTCTCATCTTTGTCGGTGAAGCGAGCGTGGTTCGTTATAGCGGCTTTCGGGGAAATGTACGAGGGAAAAATAGTCAGAAGTGAGCTTTTCGTACATTTCGTAAAAATAGATCTGCATTTGAAGCACTAAAACTTCAGGAGTGAAAAAAAAGGAAACCTTGTCGTGGTAGTTGCAAATTGAGGCTCACGTAGGGTATGAAAAAAGTGTAGTTGATCGTCGTATTTTTGTAAAAAAAAAAAAGTGTAGGTATGGTATGAGCCAAATGTGTAACCAGGATGTTGCAATTATGTATATTTAATATTGCACCACAACAGCGCGGAAAATACCAGAGTTTAAATGTAAAATGTGAATCGACATAATGGAAGGGAAAATGAGGAGTAGATTACATGTGTACAAAATGAGGAAAAGGTTAAAAAGACTTGATTTTCAAAAACAAAAATACGCACTTATGCAGCTGTGTGCTGAGTTGGAAGCTGATTTTTTTCCAAAAACGTGTCACAGAGCGATTCCAAAGTTTAATCATATTCACTTTCATCTGAGTGATATTTTTGGTGCCCAAATGTATTATTCCTCAAAATGATTTACCAATAAAAATGTGCAAATGTTGAATGATTGTTATTTTGCGAACACGTTTGATTGAAACTTTCACTGGTCGGTGAAGGTATCTTTTTAAACGCTGCCTAGCAATATTTTAAGATGAAAGGAAAGGGAAATTTTAATTTAGAAAAATATTCTAGAGTCCGCTTTTTGACACGTTAAAAATTTTAACGTCATGGACATAAAAATAAATTGATGAATAATTGTTCAAGTTACGGTCACCACCAAAGGCTCCTCCTCTATAAAGACTTGCACGAATTGGCGGATCCAGCAAATTGGCAACATTGTTTTTCTCCATCGAAACTTTTGGAGATGTATCGATTCCTGGAGGGGTCACGTGCTCCGACAAGAATCGATTATCCGTAATCCGGTGTTGCCAAGTTGCTGGATGCGTCTCTATTTATACTTTTTGGTAAGCAGAGTATTATGGCGTGTTTTGCGTGTAAGGCAAGACTTTTTATTTGACTACTAACTATTTGTAAGGAACGCTGTTAGAAAAGAGGCTTGAAATTCTATTTTATCGTAGGAAAGGTACTCAGCGAAAATTTTTGAATGACGTACTCCACCTCATTCAGTAAAGATCACTCTCGTCGGCAAGTCTGCTGCGCGAGATCCAATTTTTCCCCCTGTGAGATTTCAAAAACATGATATGAGCATGTAGACGCTCACAAAATATGTGTGGATCAAGCGAACATATCTGCGGGGAATCCTTCTCATATTTTAGAGATGAATACTTGGGCTCTTCAACTGACGTCATGCTAAAAGCCAAAGTTCAAAGTCAAACTATATTTGTAACATATCTCTCACGTAATGCTGCCTCGGGCGCAGCTTCACTTAGATTTTAGTCAAATTTTGAAAAAAAATATGTGCAATTGCGGGCCTCGCAGTCACATTTCCGAGAACCAGTTGTTCGTTTTCCTCTTTCTCTACTAGTAGGGAAGAGTGGAAAAAAATTGCTTAGTAGTTTTTTTTTTCTAACTGTGGGTACCCTCTAACCGCTTCTCGGTACAACCTCCCAAAGCCATTTGCGCCTCAGGCGTTATGCGTTACGCCTCAAACTTATGATTTTAAAGAAAACAAAGGGGCTGCGCTCCCTGAGTGCAACGCGGCCCAACACCCTGAAGGCCCTCTGAGGTCCGTTTTGCGGACCTCTTGTGGGTTAATCTGGCATAAAACAAGACAAAGCTCTAAAAAAAACAATTCATCGCCAACCATATTAGTGATTGTGGGGCAAAGCGGCTCATTCATTTTTGATAATTCTAATGGAAAGAGAAGAAATATGAATATTTTCAAATGTCAACCACATGAGTCTCAAAGCGGATTTTCAGAGATGAACAATGTATGGTTCTCTATCACACTGATACGTTGTAACATTAATCCAACGACGGTTGGGCGGAGGGGGCCTTGTTTTGGAAAAGTGAAAAGTTGGATCTCATATTTGTCATTAAAAAATGTCCCTACAAAAATATTTGCAAAAATAAATAGTAACATTTACAAATGATATCTTGTTAAAATCTAGAATGTTCACCCTAATGCTGAATCAATTTGAAGCATTTAAATACATTGTAATCCGACAAACATACAATACACATATAACATATAATACTTTTTAATAATATACTTGAGGATACTTTTTTTAATTTGGATCAATAATGTATAATTTAGACTATACAGGGTGTTTCAGACCACCCGTGCCAGGCCTTTTTATCGGTTGGTTTAGGTCGTACGAAGTCGGAGACCGCGGGGTTGAATAGGGAATTGACCCCAAGGAATCCGAATTTTGTGGTCCCGAAACCCCCCCCCAGCCCCCTTGGGAGGTAAAGGGGGGGTTACGATGCTAAAAGTCACGGTTCCCGACCGAATTGCGGATCGATCGCATCAGAATTGAAAAGCACGGAAAATTTCACGTGGAATTGACCCCTAAAAATCCAAAATCGGACCATCCAAGACCCAAAAATGATCCCCTAAAGAGGGGGACAGTACCCCGCTCCATAATTTCTCTTTGGTCTCAAAATTGACTTAAATTCTCCAGAAAAAGACGGTCTCCCAGGTAATCGACCTCGAGAAATCCAAATTTCGTGGTCCCGAAGCACCTCCAGCCCCCCTTGGGAGGTAAACGGGGGGGGGGGCCAATTTTAAAAATCGGGGCTCCTTTCCGAATCGCAAATTGATTGCATCCAAATTGAGGAGCAGAACACATTTACATCTTAAGTGACTCCTAAGAGTTCAAATAGACCCCCTGAACGGCAGAAAGTAACCCCCATCGTGTTCCAGGGCTCCCATTCCATATCCGTCAAAAATTCAGGGATTCGGATTTTTTTTTGTTCCTATTTCCTCCACTCCATGACCGTCAAAAGGATTATTTTTTAAGTTTTTCAAAAGATCCAAGAAAGTTCCGGAAAATGCGAGATCCGGAAAATTTTGGGAATTCTAAAAGTTCCGGGAAAAATTTAGGAGAATCTCAAAAGTTCCGAAATTCGGCACTAGTTCCGGAAAAAGGGAGCACTGTCGTATTCGCCTGAACTTCAGTCCGCGAATCCTCCTCAAAATGCGTCATCCAAAATTGAAGGATCCAGCACGGATTCTTGTTGTCATTCTCTTTGACACGAACTCCAGTCATTTGAACCTGTGAAGTTGGCAAATCGGCGAGGCACCTCGAGCAATGACCATTGCATCATTCAATACTGCAGTAGGCAGATTCAAAGCCTCGATTCTAAAGCCAACAGCGGTATCTACATGAGAAATCTGTAGCAGTGGCTCCCAAGTCAAAATGCACGCGCCACATTTCCCAACATCCCCCTTCCCAGCTCACTGTCCCATTTGTATGATAATCCACCATTCAAATGAACTTGTTCCTAACCTAATTAGTGTGAAGTAATTAACTGCTCTTTATAGGCGATAAAAATTGAGTTCGTTGCGTCTTTACTGAATATACCTCGTTCCTTTGTCTATAGCAGTATGGCTATCAACATTTTTGCCATTCTTGTCTTGATGAACTATGGAAAGCACAAGAAACAGAAAAAAAAGGACTTTGAGGTAATGGAAAGCTTTTTCTCATGTATGTCATCGAACCCTTGCCGCTCATACGGCAGTGACAGGATGGAGGGTTCTGAAAATTGTAAGTTAATTACCGTCAAGGGGCTGTTCGAGTATTATGCAACAAGCCACACAGGGGAGGGGGGATCTGAGCTTCACCTACGGGGTTCTGCAAGGGAGGAAGGGAAGGAATCTGACCCAAGCTTATGCGAGAGCCTTCCATGTAAGGAAATAATAACATTTTCAACTAAAGTAATTTTTCCTCGCAATTTTCCGGATTTTCTGCGTTATATTTTTGAAAAATTTGAGGGAAGGGATCAAGGCTGGTTATTGTTCCCAAAGCAATGAGCAGGGCGTTCTGCGATACCCAGCCACCAAAGTCCCCTATCCACCCACGGCCCTTAAAGGGTGGCCACACTGCAACTGCATGGCAACTGCATGGCAACTGCAAATTTACAACAGATAAAAAGCTCATCTGAGATCGCGACGATACTCACTAGAAAAAAAGTATGAAAACTCGCAGAAATATAATCACTCTCCCACATTTTTACAAGGTTCCTCGACGAATTTGCAGCGCTCGCAGTGAGTCTGATCGCGCCGGCTCGGCTGAAATTGTAGGGGGGAGGCCCTAGTTCCCACGTGCTCTTGCGTGGCGTGCCGCGGTGTGTGCCGTGCCCGCCGGGCGCCGGGCTTCTGTTTTGCGTACGCCGCACGCCTTCATTTCACAGGACACTGAACTAGACGCGAAGGAGACGTAGAGCACGAGACCTTCAGACCCCCCCCCCCCCCCNGGCCACTCTTTAGTACCGCGGGGTCTCGGTCTACCCATCATAGCTGGAATCGTAGGACGAGCTGGCTGATCAATACGTCATACCTAAACTAGATCAGAGGAGCCGGGGCAAAGTTACAAAAATAGTTTGGACCAAACTGTACGTTGCACGCTTGACTCGTTTTTGGGAGATGCAGATGGTGGTAATAAAGAATGGGGCCTGAAGAAAATATTTCAAACTAGGATGAGGGTTCTGGTATACTGAAAAATTTCGAGATTCTTTAAATTTTCGATTTTACGAGACCATGATATTTATTTTGTTGACTTTATCCAAGGTATTGTTGGTGAATGATAACTAAAAAATCACATGTTTACCATCCGTATACTTATTACACCAAAAAAAGATGATGCTGACTAAACATTCTGAATGTTTAGCTACAGAAGTTACCTTAGCAATGTTAAGATGCAAAACTAACTGCTGTGGAGGTTAATTCAGCGTTTTGTGAGTTGTTGCACACTTGTTTTACACCCAGAATGTTAAGTCAGCATCCTTTTCTTTTTCGGTGTACCCAATAAGGTAATAAAGGTACTTATGGCGATTTTTCAGTTATCATTCACTAACAATGCCTTGGTTTAAGTTCAGAAGTCATCATTTTTCGGAAGACCACTTGATTCTCAACTCAATGCAATACTCCCATACAGCAAAAATTGACACATTTCATTTCAATTTTGAGGAAATTGAGGATTTATCAATTGTTTCATCTTAATATGATCAAAATTTGATGATAGAAAGATGACATGTGTATAGAGGGTCGGAGTGGAATTTAATGTACATTTGGATCGCATTTAGTAAAAAGGAACCAGCGTGATTATAGTGCTGAAAAAATGTTTCTTCTTCAAATAACGCGTAGCTGAAAAAATATCCCAGAATAGCAGATTGTATTTTTTTCCCACCAAAAAATTGTCAACATTAAAGAAATATAATCGTGTGAATTTTAATACCGCACATATGCGAAGTATTTTCAAAAGAAAATAAGAAGTTGTACGATTTTGAAAACGCTTTTATCGCTCTGTTTTTTTTTTCTTTTTTTTCTTTTTTTTGCTAAATGCGATCCATTTAACTCTAAGACCTAGCTTGCTCCCAAACAACCGAAGTGTAATAAGTGGGAAGCGGTGCATACTCTTCCCAAGAGGTACACTTCACGCTTAAAAAGCGGAATCAACTCTTTTTGTGAAGTCACCTTTGCGTTTACATAGCAGATTGAACACCAAATTCATTTCACTCAGGTTTTCAGGGCTCAAGATGGGTTCCAAAGTGGAATAAAGTCCGGATGACGACCCCAAATTTCTGAGACGGAGACTTAAAGTGAGGTGGCAGCAACTCCTAGGTGCGCACTACCAATAAGTTCGTAGTATATCATCACCAATGTCCACCGTGCTGTTCGATTGGCGATAGTTCTGTTCATTTTGTACAAAGGAACGTGCCATTTGGATGGTTTGCATGGTTTTTGAATTCATCTAAATACTACATTCATCAATCATTCTAATAAATTTGGTAATACTTACAACTGATTGTGAGTAACTATGGTGAAAAATGTGGCATTCCTTGTCCTGCTAATGCCATTGATCTCTGCAAAGCTCGTTCGACTGTATCGTTCATTCTTGAACCAAAAATTATGACCAAAAAGCTAAATTTTGGAGATAATTTTACGACGAAAAACAATTTTTTCCCCGCGACAAAGGACACCGAAGGTTTTCAATTAAGACGACACTATTCTTAGTTTTTATTTTTCAATTTCCTACCGGACGCAGAACCAAGAGGTAGTTTCAAGGTGTCTAAATTCTAATTCTTCACGCGCTACTGCTTGAAATTTTATAATCATTCTCTCAAATTTTCAGTAGCTTTTTACCTGTAAATCATTCCCACCTCCACATTCTCTATTAGGTCCTTTCCCAAAATTATACTTAAAAAAAAAAAAAAAAAAAAAAAAAAAAAAAACCATAAATTTTGGCAAAATGAAATGACAGATTCTACCATGCAATGGAAATCCTTCGCTGGAAAAAAAATTGGTCTGGTGAACCGAGAGTTCGGTGTTCCATATCATCCCAAATATCGACGGTGAAACTACCAAACCACGTATCTCGTTTGCGGTGTTTAAAAATCTCCGCTCACATTTTATTTTTTTGAAGTAGACAAAATCAATATCATTCCTTGAAAGTTTCACAGAATTTTCTCCGCACGAAGAGGAAAAATCACGGAAATTTTCAAGACTGGATGTTAAGTAGCTTTTCATTTAAAAAATAAAGTATGACAGGAAGTCTGCGACGTCGCAAACCGAGATACGTGGTTTGGTAGTTTCACCGTCGATATTCGGTTTATCAAACTGAACTTTCAGCTCGTGTAATCAACCGTTCGGCATATTATGACCAAACATTGTTCGTCAGCTCACTTCAATGCACATGTTCGGTTTGATAAACCGACAATTCAGTTGGACAAACCGAATTAGTTGGGATGATATGGAACACCGAACTTTGGTACATACGACCGAACTTTGGTACACACGACCGAACTTTTTTGTCAGTGTTTCATACCACGGGAAAGTCAAACGACTTTCCTAAATACACGCAAAACGTCGAGTGCGTGTGTTGGCATCGTCCAACGACTTGACAACGCCCGCCCGTGGGAACCCCGAGTCTTTTGTTACCAATCGACAAACGGTAGCCGGTCCCTGGATTCCCAACGTGCCAATTTCTGGCCGATATGATGAAAAAGTTCGGTGCGGCCCCCGCCCCCCTCCTCCCCCCACCATCGGGGGGCCCACCCCCCGGGCGAGTCTATATATACCTCCCGGGGGGCGATTGAAAAATGCAGTCGCACAATGATGATCCGCTGATCTCCGAGGCAGTGGCTAACGCGATATTCGACGACTTCAGCGTTATCGGTTCCAGTGACGGTGTGTCTTGTGCGTAACGCATGGTACGTTAGCGGTGTGCTCCCATTAGTTATCTAGTGAAATTTTGCCCGAAAAAACAAGTGCTCGTTTGGATTTAAATGGATTAAACGTCACCGCTCCGCCAGCATGTTCTTTTTTACGGTGAGAAATGCTCATTTTCACTTTCCATTAACGTTGATGGTGACGCTATTAAACGCTAATGCCTTCACAAGAGAAGTCTGTTTTTGACATCCCGGAGTGTAATGCGGAGTAAATTCCACTTAGAAACCTATTTTTTGCCCCAAAAAGCCGGAAAATATGATTCAGGAGTAATCTTCACCGCTTGAGTGATCACTCAAAAGATGATTCCTTTTCACAAGAGTGGAGTTCAACCCGGAGAAAGAGCAGACGTCGCTCCTCCTCATTCAAATGAACTAGTGAGAATAAAAACATACCAACCCGAAAAAATCAAAATGTTTGAGAGACACAGAAAAGTGCGCAGTAGATGGAGAAGTTGGTCTAAGAAAAAGCCTTTAGGTATGCCAAAAGACAGTTACTTTTAGAACCTTTTAAGGCCCGAGTTATTGATGAAGATGGACGGAAATGGCTAATGGAATGGCTGCAGAATGGATCTTCAATGGCTTTTGTAAAAATTAGGCAATTTTAAATTTTCGAGTTGGTATGTTTTCATTCTCACAGACTCAATTATAAATCAGCTTGTTTTAGAGAAAAACAAGTTCCGGGGTGAAATGAAACCCAGATAGTTCCTGCATTTAACCGTTTGATAGCGTTTGATGACGCCACAGTTACTTCGTTACACAGTTACTTCGTTACCTTTTCCGTGTTTCTTGGCAATCACCAAATCATTATCCTTTAAAGGCCAAAGTAGCAGAATTCATGGAATTCCACATCGCTTAAAAAATGTAAACAATTTACAGAAAAAACTTTTTGTAGTTTAGCCCCATGAAATTGTAGTACTAACACAGTTTGCTGGATAATATGGACATTTCCAATTAATTATGGTAGTCCCGCAACTCCAGTTGGAGCAGCACCGCATCATGTTGGGTTAGTGACCTACTTTATTGGGGTACTACCACAATTAATTGGAAATGTCCATGTCATCCAACAACCGCGTGCCCTTTTTTTTCGGCATAGCTAAAAGGTAACTCCTTAAGAGTCACTCCTTCGTGGGCAATGCTCACCAAATCATAAAAGCTTGCGGTTCCAAGAAATACTATATTTATTGATCACTAAACGAACGTATCCTCGACATCCTCTGCAGTAAAAGACGATAATCGTCCAAAAGGGTCATAGTTTCACAGCCTTTATAAATTTCGGTCCATCCGATGGGATTAGATAGGGGAATAAGCCACCCTTGACCTTGAGAGTCAAGGTTGTCATTCAACTTTTAAAGTTCACGAAGAATACCTCTCTCGTTTGCGGGGGGCACTTTTGACTGGAAACGTGCACATCCAACAGAATTTCCATAACAATTAAATTGGATGGAATCAGTTCAAAGATGAATAAAAAAAACCCTCTCTCTAGGGAATAACCCCATGTCCACTCCCTCCCCTCAATTTTTCCTTCTCATCGGACATTAGAGACTCAGGATGACTCAATGGCGTAGCCAGGAGAAGGGGTCAAAGAGGACTAGATTCTCATCTCTTAATCAAAGGGTGCTTCCAAAAAACCGTCATTTTTCAGGAATTTTTCACCTATTGACCCCTCCCTCGTGAGAGAGTTTTGACCATAGATCTCTCTTACATGAAAAATGTCTAGCTTCGCCATTTGGATAACACCTCTGCCGTGATAGCGAAGAGAGCAGTAAGTGCATTCCTGTGTGAGCCATGGTTAGCACATGCTTTTATGGGTCTCGAGGTTCATCCCAGCATGCACTTACTGATCTTTTCGCTATTACGGTAGATCTGAACTCTCTGGTCTCTGAGAATCAAGTTACGAAAGATACTGTCTCTTTCAGTTGTAAATTATGTGACCATAGTACCAGTACCTATATTAAATGGAGCGAGACACTATATGTATGGCCTTCTATTAGGTGTCACATTTTTATGTATTTATAGACAAAAATTGTTCCCGTGAACCGTAGTGTGATACTTCAAATTGGCAATACTAATTTAGGTTCTGGCAGCTGTATACTCCTCCTATATGACCCTAAACTCTCTCCTCTCTTTGGTTCAGTTCTAAAGTTTCACTATATCAACTGACAGTATGGTTATCAGAGCCGACTAAAAGGCCGAAATGAAACAACGCATTACTATGGTTTGTACAGCCGAACTTATCACTCGGGTCTTACTCGGTCCATCTTATGAAGTCGATCAATTTTAAACTTCAAGGATTCCAGATTAAACTTTTTGCACTGTCTAATTTTGGTTGTTTCAATTTTAAATTTGATCGGGTACCTTGACTTTCAAAATCAGTACCTTTCCCTTCCCATATACCTCCTCATGGAGGCTGGGAGACTTTAGGCCTACGAAATATTGATTTTTTTCTTTTTGGGGGATGGGGTCGACTACTATACCCCCCTCATCATCCAACTTCGGTTGACCTACAATAACACAAAATAGTGTCACATAGGGGTTCAAGAGTGCATTGTACAGAAATGACATAATAACATACTCGCTCATCACCCAGAGCCACCAAAAGCCCAAATGATTCTCCTCAAACAGATTGAAGATATATGTGATTATCTTCGACGGTCAACGATATTTGAGTATTTTACTTTTTAAAGATGTTACTTCATTTGAGTCGGCATCATCATGAAATAGATAGGCTATTGCTTAGGATATTCGGATAGGCAACTAAACTAACTGCCTGACAAAGCAGAAAGTGTCACCCGGATTTGAAGGCGCTTCAATCCAGGTTCGTGGTTTTAAAGTTCTCTATTAAGATGAGAATTATTGCACTTTTATGAGTCAAAGCGCGTGTCGCTTGCAAATTGCCGAGGCTGCTGACTACCATAATGGTACAGTCAGCAACTGGTACATAAATGGCAAGAGCAGAGGTCCAAGTTTTTGTTATGAAGGAGAAGAGTAAAAAAATAGAAAATAGGTGAAATCATGTATTAACTTAAAGCATCTTTAAAAGATTGATGTAGCATTCTATTCATTTTCCGATGACCTTTGCGATCGTATCAACCCTGTGCTAAAACATGCATAAAGAAAAGATGTAGGTACTACTAAATGTAGATTTATTACAAAAGAAAATCTGTATATAGAGAAAGAACTATGGACCCATCATTGAGCTTTTAACGATATTCGTATTTTAACACTCCTCCATCCATTGAGCGAAAAGTGGGGAAGTATCGATTTTTCCATGAATATTATTGGACTCATGCATCAATGACGAGGAAATGGAGTTAATGTACAAGTCGTATGAAATGGTGACTCCGAGATGAAAATTAATGTATGAAAATCGCGTCTCCTCAGCTGTGAACGTGTTTCATTGTTACTATTCCATGACCTTATTTTTCAGCTTTGTTAATTGCAAAGATGAAAATTGGTCACTAGAGGAATGATTTGAAAACTATCAAGTGACAGAATCGTAATAGAAAGGCGATTCCGTGAAACATTTTAAGCGTGCCAGTAGGGCTCGCTTTTTGAAATCACTCGGATGTACCGTAGTACAGCACACCGATCAACCAATGCTATTCAACGGGCCGTCCAAATATTTTTTTCCTCGGACCCGTTTTCTTGTCTTTGAACCATTATACTGTCAAGCCCTGATGGTCTCTTACCAAAAAACCGAATGAACTGCTAATTGGGAACCCTTGAGAACATTTTCCTGTCAAAACCGTATTATTTCATTTGACAAAAACCTCATAGAAGCTTTCTTACGCTCGGAGGACTCAACTCTAGAACCTTCTTTCCCGCCAAGACTGTTTACCCAATGAGCGTCTTGCACTGCAAGTGCAATCTGTGATGAGCCTCGTGACTCTTTATACCATGTACTAACCGTGGCCCCTGCAGAAATCCACTCAAACCACTGCAGTTATCTTCCGATATAGCTTTGGGTGTCAGGTTTCGAGCAAGGCAATAAAAGACGGCGAGGAGAGGGTCGCCTCGTCGAACCTATTATCTTCCACGCCCGATTAACCATTCACCGTGACGCCAGGATCCACCAAATGTTCACAAACATTGTTTTCCGTCTATTTAGCGAGTTTTTCCTTACTTTCCGTTAAAGTACAAATAAAAAGAGACCTCATTTGTAAAAATCGGCCGAATAGGAGAGAAGTTACAGTTCGAAATCCAAAGAGATTAACTCAACGCGATTTCGATGCACGGCAGTTCGCCCAAATCACGGTCGTGCGAAATGCCGCATATCAGCTTAAAATCAAGATAATTGGACGGAATCTTTAAAATCAATTTACATTCAACTTTCATGAATCAATATTTTCTCCCAAATTTAGCAAAAAGTACCAATTGATGCAAATAACAAAGACGTGAAAATAGTAGGTATGTGTCCAACATTTTAGTTATTCGGCACGCTTTTCCAACATATTCATGTTGGATTTTTCTGCTTGTTTTCTAATTATTTCGATCACATCTAGTTGAAGTTCTGATGATTTTCTCCACAATTTATCGCCATTTTTAAGGACTTCTGGAATACCAAAAATAAAATGCGATCTTAATTTATGGACTCAGAGGGAGAGTTCAGAAAAAAACATACCACAAATAACGATATATTATGTACCAAAAAATTACATATTGAATGTAAAACATGATCTGTTTTAAGAAGATTTTTCTTGATTGATTTGTTTTATTATTTATTGACAAAACCAAAGAATTTATTAAACCCGCATGTTAGTTTTGGATGTGCTTTTCAGAACAATGCTTTTTTCAGAGTAACTTTATACATTTGATAAGCCGCATTGCATCATAATTTAATTTTTAGCGATAAGCATACTTTTTCTTAACTTTCATCAGCTCAACATTCCAGTAAATGTTTTCTAATTCTTAAGGGGTCAGATCCCCTCCTTAAATTTCTCAAAAAACGTAATTATATACATAAATTAACGGTGTATTTCGGCTTCAAATATTGTCACTATTTGACAAAGTCGCCAAGGCAGGGCAGGAGCTCAAAGAAGAGTGCACGGCTCCAATAAACACCATTCACTATCGTAATGAAAAGAACGTATCTTCCCTGAATAATGGCTCAGTTGGGAAACCTGCGAAGACAAATAATCTTAACAACTCAGTCAGTTATTTGCCGAGAAGTGTGGAGCAATTTTTCAAAATTACTCAATTGCCGTGGGACCTCTTGATTGCGACCGGCGCGTGAGAATTTTAGGTACTGTGCATAGACGTACTCAAGCTGCAGTATTCCCCGCTCCAAGAGCGGGTATCCTGCCTTGAAAGTTGCATCCTCTCAAAATGAAGGCGCTTTAAGTGACTCGGACTTCGGTTTCCGTGACTGTGAAGCTTTGAACAGCCGAAAGGAAACTTAATACTCTCCGTCATGATACTGGGCGGCGGGACTTAGAAAATGTATTTCTGTTGCGATGTTGCAAAAATCTTCAACATCTTTTCTTCTAATTTAAATTCCTCTTTCAGAGATAGAGTCTCATTTAAAGACCCGAGAATGAGAGAAAAATTTCCACTATTACTTAACAGAAATAAATGTTTTTTTCGTCTAAAGTTCTAGTTTTAACATACGCGTGTATTAGAGTAGTGGTGCACAATTCTTATAGTTACTTCTCTACTTATTAATTTTTACTAAAAGTATGCCAAAATAAATAGCAGAGTTTTTAAGACCAACCGGAACATTTAATCCTCCTAAGGAGTCAATCGTCATCAGTTGCCTAATATTATCTCCCACAAAATTTGTAACAAAATTCTAAAAATATATTCTATAGTGTGCGAAGGAAAAATTTCAGGCGTTTCTACATTTCCTGCAATAAAAAATGAATTCACCGGGAAAATTGTAAATGTGTTTTTCCAAAAGTTTCAGAAATTTTTTTTCTTAATTTGACCTAAAATATCTGAAAATTTCAAGGACAAATGTACCTAACTCCCCTCAAAAGCACGCATGTTTTATCCGAGACAATTTGACAATATGGCGTTCTTCCTTAAGTATTACGGCAGTATTATACTTCACCCGTTTTTAAATATTTTCCAATTAGCTTTTTCGCTTTATTCATCTTTAACATCAAATAGATTATCCGTCTAAACTTCTCCGTCTTGGTGTTTTATCATTTTTTTAAAGAGAGAAGGGACAAATCAAAAACAACAAGCATAATTTCATGATAGTCAGTACTATCGGTTGCCTCATCAGCTTGGCAATTTCATCTTATCTTTTCTTTTGTTTTGTCCCTTGGTATAAAAAAATCTGCGTACATAGCTTTTAAATTGGAATGAACGCGCTTCTTTTTCCATGTATACAAACTTCTAAAGAGTTACATTTTGACGAAGGATTCTTATTGGCAATACCCTTTTACATTTGTTGAAGGTGGTAACAACAGTGCTGGTTGTCTCGTTGGTTGGAGGTGGGCGAACAGAGGAAGATCAAACTGAAGTAGCGATTCTGAAGCAAGTAAACCGAGTCAACGATGATGGCTCCTACACTTTTGGCTACGAGGCGGCTGACGGCAGCTTCAAAATCGAAACACGGGACGTGCGAGGCAATGTTAAAGGTAAACGGATTACTTAAATTCACACAAAGAAAATAAATTTTGACCTCCAAAGATATTTACACAGATTTGTGTTTGCGGAGGTGTTTCCGGTTCACTAAGGCTGGATTGAGCTGATTAAAGCGCCTTGATACAACTATTCGTGTTCTACGGATGTGCGTGTTGCATATTCAAAAATTGGAGGCACTTTTAATTTTGTCACTTCTTCAGAGATGCACGGGCCTCGTCATTCATAAATGGAGATGTTGCATGTGTGAGGGATTTGCGATTTGACAATTGATTCGTATGTAAAAGTTCGCGAGAAACACGATGGTGCCACTGGTTTTCTCCGAAATCAACTCCCTAGCTCAAAAAAAGCTCTCAAGTTGAGGCCAAAATGGAGAGGATATCCCACGCTATCCTGAGAGTCCATCTCTACATCAAAACGAACTCTCCATGCAAAGATAGGGAGCAAATACATTGACAGGGCTGCCACTTTATTTGGGGACTTTAAAACTGAGAACACGGCAACCCTGCTAATGTATTTGCTCCCTATCTTTGCATGGAGAGTTTGTCTTGATGTAGACGTGGACTCTCAGGGTAGCGTGGGATATCCCCTCCATTTTGGCCTCAACTTGAGAGCTTTTTTTGAGCTTGGGAGATGATTTCGGAGAAAACCAGTGGCACCATCGTGTTTCTCGAGAACTTTTACATACGAATCAACAGTCAAATCGCCAATCCCTCACGCATGCAACATCTCCATTGTATAGACTTCTGATATCAGAGGACCTACTTAGGGAGGCGCCCGTCCCACGCAAAAACTAGGAGCTTCGAAGGGCTAACCGATAAATTTGTTGACTGTTGACTGTTGCCTTTCAAAAATCATCCGCCCGACGATCTTTGAAGGTGATCGATGTGTTTGGAGCACACCATAGATTCGATCTTGAGATTTTCAAGAAATTTTGCACAAAAATGGCTGAGAAATCAATGAATTGGTGCCAAATTGAGAGTCCCGGTTTCTACGTAGGATGCAGTGGGGATGCGTAGGCGCATTAGCAGTCAGTGAAAAAATTACCAACCATACGGTTGTTCCTAAATCGGTGATTATTCCGACCAAATTAACTCTAATCACAAAAGAGAGAGTTTTCCCTCATTACTATGCAAGGGGAAAAAATCAGTCTAAGTAGCCCGTTTTGTGAAATTTTATTGATTTTTATTTAAAAAAGTGTAGAATAATTCCGATCTTAAAATTTGTTCTTTGAAAATTCAGTCGTTGAAAGCCAGTGGAAAGTCTAAGAATCAAATAAAAGACCGTTCTTGAAAATCTATCTAGACTTTAAATAAATGCACCTTAGTATTAGTCCATTGCAAAGATAGGGATTCATGCCGCCCAAACGAACAACGCCGTAACTCCGTTATAGATTTTTAAATTTTATCCTGCGAATTTTTTTTTTTTTGTTGTTCAATGTTTCATTGCGGTAAAATTAACGAGCATGCATCCTCTAAAGTTCTTGAATCTTGGCATACTGAGAACTCAAACTGAGAAAATGGAGCAGAATGGATATCGTCGTCACTTTCCGGCCAAAGTATCACAAGTGCCATGCGATGTTTAAAAATTTCCTTCGCCATTTCTTTTTTTCACTGAGAAATGGTTCAACGAAGCTATTTGAAAATTTCACTGAATTTTTTTGGTGCTGCCTATAAAATTCAGTGAAATTTTCAAACAGATTCAACCAACAATTTCTTTGTAAAAAAAATAAAATGGCGGCCAAAACTTTTGAATGTCGCATGGCGTTTGTGCTACTATGGCCGGAAGGTGAAGAAATATGGAAATTCAATACCTCGCCCGTCAAAAGTTAGTTTGCGCGTCGTGTTCGGAGGCTATTGGCTTTTTTCCTACGAGAACAGAATATGTTAAACAAAAATGCAAAAATCTCGCATGGATTTACGGTGCTTTTTTAGTGGACGGCAGCACAACCCCCCCCCCCCCCCCCAAAAAAAGCCCGTCACCTATTAATTTTAATATATTTAAGCGCTGTTACATTACTACAGAACTTAAATATAATTAAATACATTCTGAAAAAAAAATAAAAAAATTATAAAAATAATTAAAATTAGAAAAATTGTATAAGAAAAATGTATTCGCAGGGATGTTCGGCTACGTAGACTCATCGGGCGACCTGAAGAAGGTCTCGTACTCCTCATCGAACAACACAGGGTTCGTGCAGACGGCCGAGACGACAGGCGCCTCCTCGGCCGAGCGAGAGGCGCTGCTCTCGAGTTTTGGGGCGGCGACAGTGGCGCCCTCTCGCTCCCCCCTGGCAGATCCCTCGGAGCGACGCCCCATCCTCGTCCTCCGGGACTCGGCCCTGGTGGCACCGACCAAGGGCTCCTTCATCCAGTACATCCCCAAGAAGTCCGACCTCCAGTTCGGGGCTCGCGAGTTCACCACCGCCTCCCCCGCCTACGAGACCTCCTCCGTTCAGAACGAGGTCGAGGGCGGTCACAATGAGGACCTCTTCGTCAACCCGGATTTGGAGGATGACAAGCGATTCAAGAGCCCACCGGTAAGGTCTTTAGCACATCTTTATAGTATTGTGATTTTGAACCGATTATTTTCCAGATCACGTAAGCGCCACTCAGAGGCGGATCCAGCAATTTGGCAACAACGCATTTCCTCCATTTAAACCTATGCTAAATTATCGATTCTCGTCGGAGCTAGATTCCCTTTATACTAAGAGTCAAGACAACACCCCCTCATGGAGTCACAAACGGGAATAAAGATTACAGAAATTGAACGTTCTTTGTATTCTTTAATCGGCCCATTCTTAAATTCCTTTCTCCGTTCCTTCTCTCATTCCGTTTGTTCCTTGCCGAACCCGTAATTCCCTGGTCCATTCCAGATTATAATCTTTGCAATCGGTGAAAATGTAATCTTTATTCCCGTTTGTGACACTGTGAAGGCCTAATATACGGGAACCAATCAGAAATGGATTCACATTGTCTTGACTCTCAGTATAAAGGGACTCTACCTGGCCCCTCCAAAAATCGATACTTTCCTATAGGTTTAAATGGAGGAAATCCGGTGTTGCCAAATTGCTGGATCCGCCAATGGCGCAATCTGTATTTTAATGGTAGAGGGGTTGTTGTTTTTTGTTCTCTGTAGTAAAATCGACATGTCTGATTTCAAGGCAGCCTGCTCGAAAAGAACATACATTTTTTTTTTGGAATTCGAAGATTGTCAACAAAGCGAATGAAACGGGTTGTCTTAAATTTCTCGCATTCGCAATTTTGGCTCTTACGTGATTTGGAAAATAATCGGTTCAATTTTGTAAGGAGTTGAAAGAGAAACTGTGATTGAAGTTTGTCGCATTCCTTTTAACTAGTCATTGCTTGTTACCGAACCGCTAAAGTATGGTATTTGAAGAGTAAAAAGCAGCATATTATGATTCCAAATATATTGAAAATAAATCTAATCTTCAAGCCAAAAATGCAATATTTTTCGGTAAGGATAAACCATATTAAGTATAAAAACTGTATCAGGAGGAATTAATCATGCACAAAGCAACCGCACATCGCGCTTTCATTCAGTAACGCTGGTACTGGCGCACAGTAGATCGAGTCAATTGGTGAGATCGGACATGAAATTTTTGACTAAAACTGCAAATTTTGGTGTTTATTTCGTCACATCTTGGACTTTAAGGGGTACGCCTAAAAGAAAAATCCCCGAGGAAACCAATGAATCCACTTTTAGACCTCAAAGTTGTGTATAAACGGAGTTATAAGCGTTTAGTGTTTCCAAATTTCGTCCGACCTCCGACCCTCAGGACATTTTGTCAACGATTTTTTGTCCGCGCACCTTTTTTGTCCAGTAGTTTACGCCCACACGTAAAATAAGCAACAGTGACTTGGTCCAAGCGTTATATTTTAGTCGGTATGTAAAATTATAATGACAATATGGAAATGAGAAATTGAGAGAGAAGGAGGTGTTGTTATGGTTGCTCATTTTCTAAATGAAATGTTATTACTTTCTCCTTTTCAATCATCTTTTTAAATTGCCATTGGTGAATATTTGGTTTTATTTCCATCCTTAAAATATTGAATATACAAAATACCTTATATATGTATAGGTATTTTTTTTATTTTTTTTTCTTTACGAAATTATTACTTCATTTTGAAAACATTTATTTTTAAAACGTGACAAATACTTGTAAAACCTTTCCCAAGCGACATTAATCTCAATGAGCCGCAGTTGTGCCGACAGAAACTGCAAAAATGAATGAAAAAGGGGAAAAAAACCAAGAAGCACGCAATTTTTAGTTTTAACCCATTTGTACATCGATCTTTTAGAGTCAAATACGTCAAATTTTGAGCGTTTCGTTGCGCGTTCACCTCGCTGCAGCACAATAAAAGCACAAAATATAAAAGAAAAAATGAAAGTGCTTTGGAAATCATTAAATTTGACACGGAACCACCAATATTTAAAAAACACACATTATATTAATATGCTCCTTTGATCAATTGATACATATTTTTTCCCCATCAATTTAAATGAGAATAATCGATGCAGAGTGTGCAAGCATTTCAAAATCATGAGTTAAAAAAACGCTGACTATGCGAGTAGAAATATTAAAGCCTAACAGAGCGGAGCGGCGTGCTGCCAGCGTGAGAGGCTCACTGGCGCCTACAAACCTAAGTGGATACTTCACGCATTGCACAATGCTTGAAGTATCCACTTAGGTTTGTAGGCGGCAGTGCGCGTTACGCGCTGGCCGCCCGCCCGCCGTACGGCGGCGCCTGAAGTAACTATTTCACTACAGAGGTGTTGCGCAGTATTATACGAAATTGAACGTATTAAGAATGGCATGCATCCTTTAAAAGTACAAATCTTTCCTCGCAAAATAAATCAAGATACTTATCGTACACAGGAAAAATCTATGAGCCTTCAGCTGAGGCAAATATGGAGGTTTATCCGGTTCAGGTATGACAAGGTAGGAATTTCTTGAAAGATAATTAAGTCCTGTTACACCAATGAGGTGTAGAGAGTTTTAGTGAGACGCTCCCCCATTTTTACCAAAACTCTCAACTATTGTATATTATTTTCCGTTGGACCAAACAGACAAAACAAAAAAACAAGCAAACCCTCATTCTTCCAAGACATTATATATTTTCATCCAAAAACGTCGTGAGCAATTGTTTGTATTTACATGTGGGCCAATTAACTTTGGGTCTCAACTGGCACGTGGACCAAAACTCCTGTGCCGAAAAAACGCGTGGACGTAAATTACTGGAAAAAACAGGTGCGCGGACAAAAAATCGTTGGCGCAATGTCCTATAACCCTCCTATTGAGTCGGTCCATTGTGTGGCACCGCGCCCCGCAACGTTGATGAAATTCCAGGATACAACTATTCGAACTCCGGGACAGTCCTGGCTGCATGTTCAAAACATTGAAGGGGCTTTCAGTGCGTAGTGCTGGTCGACTTCCTCTGATAAATTCCTGAAAACTTATCAGTTAGCCGAATGAGTTAGACGTGGGAAGGATGGGGACGGCCTTAAGCATCAGCCTTACTGTATCCGTCGTTATCTACTTTTCTCGCTTATTTTATTGTTTTGTTAAGAGAGTATTAAACAACGGAACGACTTCCAGCTCCCTGTGAATTGGACCGCGTTAAACAGAAAGGAACCAAGCCACATCGGCTATTGCCAAATTTAATCGGGCAATTTAATTTTTTACATGAAAACGGTTGTGCGGATTTTTGTGCTAATTTCTATGAATTTTTTCCATAATACAAAGCAAATTCCTTAAAATTCTCAAGGGAATCCGTCCAAACGGTCTCTCGTAAAAAATCAAATTCCCCTGTTAAATTTGGCAATAGGTGGTGTGGCTTGGTTCCTTTCTGTTTGACGCGGTCCAATTATTAGGGGCACTTTCATCAAAGATATGCTTCTATCCGTGTACTCTTTTTCAGGTACCGGTTGTCTACCCGCGGAAGATCGTGGTGACGCGGCGACCGGTTGACGACGCCCCCCGGGGCGGTAGCTCCCTCCGGCGGCAGCTGAGTCGCCGCCTGAACGAGCGCGAGGAGGACGGGCCCCACGTCTACGGCAACGAGCACATGAACGCCTACTACGACAAGCACATGGACGCCAGCACGGCCATCCAGGAGAACGCCCACGCCGAGCGAGCCACCGAGGAACTCCGCTACGAGCTCCTCGAGCCCCGAACCCGCGAGAACCGCGCCGGCTACATCACCGCCGACGACATCGACCGCACCATCGTCTACCGCAACCCGCCAACACCCCCCGCCTACCCCACCGCCGCCATCCCTTACCGACCTCGACCCCCGATCCCGGAGCCCGAGGACTACCGCCCTAACTACCCCGTCACCCCAGCACCTCCACCACCACCGCCCCCACCCGCCGCCACACCCTACCCCACGACCATCGTCCAGTCACTGCGAGACGAGCTCATGGAGTTCATCATGCACTACGTCCACCGTAGACTCAACCCCTACTTCCAGGACTACCCCGCCCCCTACCAGGCCTACTACCGCCCACCGCCGGTCCCTTACCCTTACTCTAACTACCCGCAAAGATACCCACCTCCACCCCCGCCGCCTTACCCGCCCTTCTTAGCCACGCCGGGGGTTGGTCCTTACGGCGTTATACCCCAGCTGTCTCCGAACGTTCAGTACTCGTCACAGTCTTCGGCGGGTGCGGACGGTGCCGACGCGACACCCCAGGCGGTTCGGGCGTTGAGGGCGCGGTCTGGACAGGTGAGGCGACCCTATGTCCCGGCCGCCCTGCGGGAGGCGCGGGAGCAAAGGGAGCAGCGACGGCAGCAGAAGTTCTACGCGTCGACGGCGGCCGGCAGGGATAGCTCGACGATCCAAGTCGCGGCCTCCAGCACCTCCACGACGACAGTGGCGCCCCCTAGCAGCACGCCCGTGAGGAATCTCTTGATCCTCGGCACGAGCCCCTCGACTGCTGTCGGGGATCTGAGGCCGGTCACCGAGGCGCCTGATGAGATGGAAGCCACCAGTTAATATGGGTTCGCTTTGGTTGGGATGTTGCCATAGACGAGGAGAGACCCTCTACTGGCCTCCTGACGATAGATGGAAACTTTTACTTAAGGGGGGTCAACACTTTTTTATGGACAATGAGACAGGAGCAACGGTCATCATCCTTTTTTCGGCTGCTGACATATCTAATGGGTGAATGATGAACTTTGAGTGATGTTATGAGAGTGTGCCGAACAAGTTTGCCAAACCACGGTATGTTTGCGAAATGAAATAACCAACACGTTGTTCAAGATCCACCTAGTGGGTACATAAGTCAACAGTTGAATGTAGACGTCCCGAAAGTAAAAGCTTTCACCATTACCATAGCAACGAAGGATCTATTTTTGCCTTGGAGGCCATAGAAAAGGAGAGGTAGGTGGCGGCTGTTCGAGACAGCACCCTTGCGATATCTAAAAAAGAAATATGCACCTCTTGACGTGATAAATTCGCTCCATCCTCACCTTGCCTCTCTTTTCTAAGAGCCAGTTTTATCACCTCTTCCAGTTAGCATTAAACATGTACTGTGCGGGCTGATTGTTGAAATTGATAGACAAAGCGATCGACAAAGAAGACATAGGGACACAGAGATATAGGGATTGCAGAGCGATCCCATTGGTTGAAATGGTTGGTTCCAATAGATTAAGGGAGAAAATGGACTAACTACAGGGTCTCTCGTAGGCTGCCTTAAGTAGTCTACATATAATATACCATCTTTATCCATTGCTACCACCCTCTTCCACCAGTAGGATCTTATCCCATTTGTCTTCTTTGTCCATAGCTTTGTCCATCAATTTAAAAAATCAGCCAGCTGGTATTTGTTAATACAATCCATCTTACTAATTTCATTTATAGAGTAGAACCAAAATTAGTATTAAAGCTCGGAGGGAAACTGTTTAAGGTTTTTTCTTGCGAAGAATATTTAAGTTTCGCTCAACTAGAGGACTTCAAAAAAGGGGTGATAGAGCTGGCTATTAGGGTACTTAAAGTTTAGTGAATATTATTACCATCTAAATGTTGAACCTAGCAGCTCAATATTTCCTCTGAAATTGTCAAGACTGGCCGTTTTGAAAAGTTGAAGAATTCAAAATAGTCAAAGTAGAGGTTTTTAAAAAACAGCTAAATACTGACTGATACGTATTTTGCAGGTAAATGTTTATCCCTTGGGATTAAAAAACCGAAAGGAGCGGAGTAATGTGGTAAACTAGTGATTTTTTTTTGCATTTTTAGAGTGACAGGGACGTGCGTTTTAAGTCAACTACTCGAATGTATAACTGAACCTCACTAAAGTTACCAACATGTTAGTCATTATAAATAAAAAAAAAGTAGCACTATTCTGAAAACTAAAGTTACAGTTTTGTGCGCAAAAAATCCAGGACGTGCCCTCCTCTACTGATCGAATTTTTTTTCGATTCCTTGGATTAAGTCACAGGTTTTGAGTGTTGACGTATCTTAATGAAGTGTATAAAACGTGTAAATAATTTAGGCCACATAGTACCTGCTAAAAGAATGTCTCCAAAAATTTCACTATCTATTTTATACTTTTATACTGGAATTGTGATGTTAATGTAATAAAAATAATCAGTTTGTACAATGCAATCAATCGTATTTTGTTTAATATCTGCTCAATTGACCTCAAATAAAACGCGAGTAATGAATCTTATACTTATTGTACGATCATGAAGGCTATTTCCATTTAAATCTTCCGTCCCATTCATACGGCGCAATGATACAACTATTTGAACTCTCCGGAATTCGTGAGGTATCACGCCGCATTTGAAGGCGTTTTCAAATCAGCCAAGTTCCGATACCCGGATTATCGCTTTGCAGAGTTCATATTCTTTTGTTATATTCCGTGCCACTTGTTTATTTTTAATCCTCGTAGAAAAACCACCCATTTGTAAATACAATTCTAGCTGGAGCGCACTTCAGCTATCCATTCACCAGCGCAAACATGTCAAAGGAAATCGACACGGCCAGCGTGCATGGAGGCTATTTCCATTTAAATCTTCCGTCCCATTCATACGGCGCAATGATACAACTATTTGAACTCTCCGGAATGCGTGAGGTATCTCGCCGCATTTGAAGGCGTTTTCAGAATAGCCAAGTTCCGATACGCGGATTATCGTTTTGCATAGTTCATATTCTTTTGTTATATTCCGTACCACTCGTTTATTTTTAATCCTCGTAGAAAAAACACCCGTTTGTAAATACAATTCTAGCTGAAGCGCAATTCAGCTATCCATTCACCACTGCAAAAAGTTCAGAGGAAATCGATAAGCCCAGCGTGCATGAATGCATGCCCGCCACAAGAGGGGGATACTGGGTCCCTGGTACCCGGGCCCCGGAGGGGGCCCGTGATACCCGTGAAAAACCACTACGAATTCACATGCAACCCTTGTTTCGCAAGAAAAAGAGAAAAATTTACCCTAAAAATTACGCAAAAGGTGAATAGATTTTCAAAAACACGCTGGGGCACTGTAGAATTCTTCTTAAATTTTCAAAGATGTATACTTCTTGGAAAATGTCTTTCTATTTTCAAGATTTTCAGTACAGAGGGATATTTTTAGTAACTGCGTTTCATTTTCTTCTGTCGTCAGATACTAAGAGTCTCCAGTCTGAGCATCCTCGACTTCAATGGCTCATGGCTCAACTCCCTTGCCATAGACAAACGAAGGGGGAGTCCAGGGGAGCCTGGCCCTCTTAGAACTGAAAATAGTATCATGTGCCCCCCCCCCTAAAAAAAAATGAAAATTTTCCAGATGTTTTGAGTGCAACAATTCGCAAGTATTTTGTGCTGAAAGTAGAAAAAAAAAACATAATTATTCCGCAGAAATTGATGAAAAAATTCTTTATGGAAGCTTCAAAATGCGTCCGATTAGTCGTATAAATTCTAAAATTCTCGGGGGATCCCCCTCGGAACCCCCCCTCCGTGCTTGGGGCCCGGACCTTAAAACTGGTACCAGGGCCCGAGATGGGATGTGGCGGGCCTGTGTGAGAAGAAATACTAGTCACATTTCTTACGATGTCAATATACCCCAAAGCTTGATTGAGGTTTAAAAAAGCCTCTGTTCGATTTGCATTAATTATTAAAATGACTATTCAGTAAAGCGCCTTTAGATTTTCGGCTCGGCAAAGTTCACCATCCATATTGTTGAAATTGATAAGTACTTATCCACAATATTCAAACTCCCGCGTTAGATAGTTCGTATAAAAATTGAGCTTGACGATACAATATTGAAATCAGCAATTCAGCATACATTTTCCAGTTTGATAAGTCTGGTCATGCATACTTTATCTAATTTTACCATTTTTCTGATGCGTTTCTCTTGCAGAGTGTTTTCAGACACGAACATCAACCTTTTTGTGAACGAATATGTAAGTTGTTTGCCCACATTTTAGCACCTCATTTAGTCATTTTGCTCATTTTAGCATCGTGCGTCATTCGTTATTTTCATGTTGACGGCTTCAACCTGTACATTCCCCCCAAAAACGGCCATGAAATGCGAAGCATATAAACCTAAGAATGCTGAGTTTCAACAAGATCTTCTATAGCTCCAGAGAGTTCCTTTAACAATGTAGAGAAACAAAATTTTGAGAAGGAATAAAATTTAACTTCTCCTTACACGATATTCCTACACGCAGACTGCTTTCTGAAAATATAAATTCAGTCAAGTGTGTTTATCGCAAATTTTTAACTTTGCCTCCTCTCACATGACAAAAAAGTATGAATTCAAATCGGATTCATAATCTGAAAAAAAGAAAAAAAAACCTCACGAATCCACATTACCCTCTAGGGAAGACAAAACATATTATCAACCTTGACTCTTGATATTTTCTGGTCTCTTTATAATAGTGCTGAGGCGTATTTTTTTAAGTTTTAGCTCAAAAAAATTCATCGTGCCGAGAGACGGTTATAGTTTGTTTTTGCAGTTCCTTGAAATCAAATACTTACAAATGACAGAAAAAATCAAATAATTTTATGTCGTTCAATCATCATGTCTCCGATTTTAGTAACTCAATTTCACGTTTTTGTGGACTAAGGTCCCTTATTTTCATGAATGTGTCATCGATGGCAATTGCCCTATCAAGAAAGTTTACAAGTGCGGCATCGGCCGTTGGGTTCCTCAATACTGTGGATGACCAGGGATCGTCTGTATGACTGTATTAGGATGGTTCCAACTTCCAATGCGTTCTGTGTGCAGACTTATGCAAGACTTCATAATCCTTAGAGGACCGAGCATTTGCTCAAAGCTCATTTGCTTCAAAGCTCTTACCGTCTGGTGAGAGCTTTGAAGGACAACGTAATGCATTACTTTAACGATAGTGTATACTTCTCTGAAAATTGATAGTTGAAAGTTTGGTGAGCGAGTTCTTTCGACTCAACGGTGCTCATCTTCTTTGGGGAACTTAAAAACGCGCCTACAATGAAAGTAGCCGAACGTTGCTGATACGAACATATTAGAGAATTGTTTACTTTCCCATGTTTTCCCATGAAATCATTTCTATTTTGTATCGTCGGAAAACTGAGTTTTTTTTTTCAGTGCTCTTAAGGTAAACACAAGTGTGCACACATTGGATCTCAGTGCTTCCATTGAAATTTTGAAACCACATTTCGCTCTACCAAAAAGAAAAAAAGAAAATAAGGGAGAAAATAAAATAAGGGGAAAAAAGAAAATAAGGGGAAAAATAGAGAAAAAAGAGAATAAAAGACATTTTTTCTGGCAGGCACTGTACGCTTATACCATTTTCTTCTGAGTTTTTTATTGTTTTTTCAGTCACGCACGTCAAACGCTTTTTCGGAGCAAAAATTTAAGTCACTTGCCCATCATTTAACACCTACAATCCAGTCATTCGCTCTCTTTGTGTCGACAGTCACACGCACGAAAAATGTGCATATCATTTCGACATAGCTACAAAAACCGACTCTTAAATTTGAGACTCGGAAATTCAAAAATTCTTATCAGTTTTATTTAAATCGATTAGATTTTTAAAAAAGTTTTCTCAACATCTAAGAAAAATTGAGTAGAATGGCTTATCCTCATTTTATGTCAGCTATCTTTTAGCCGAAGTTCTGCATCAAGTTTTTCGATTCCGCAGCGGTGGCTGCAAGGCGAACGTGTTTTAAATTTTAAATCTGGGTTAGATTTTCGGTGAGAAGAGTTATCATTGTCCCAGCGTGGTAAGATACGATGCTTTCTCGCAGGATCCTAATTTTTTTGGTAAGTAAACACAATTTTTCAAGCAGTTTATCACATAGACCAAAGAAAGTATGGAAAAATGAAATTCTTTTAAAATCTGTCTAAAATTAAAACATTTGCGAGATAAACGCTTTCTTCTTTTTAAAAACAATTAAATTGAGAGGGAGGGGGTTCTTCTCTTTGTTAACATGTTTTGCCAAGAAATGAGAAATACTGCCATTCTGTAAAAGAATGTCTCAAGAACAATCGAATTTTTTCACAATTCTTTTGGTATATACACAGTTTATTTTTTAGGTAAGTTTTGTCAATTTTAACATGACACTTTTGGATGTATAATATTCGTTAGTTAATGAACTTCTCAATTAATTTCATTGACGAATAATAAAAAGTTTGCCAAGAAATTTCTCTCGGAGAGAAGCAATTCAATAATGTAAGTCAAAAGAACCATACGGTGTGATGTTGTTTTTTTAAAACCTAGGATAGGCTAATGGACAATGAAAGAAACCGAAAATTACAACTTACGTGAGACTAATTTTTGTATGAAGATAGGTGCTTTGTGTGGATGAACTACGATTTATGTTTTAATTCCGTCTGCGTCATTAAATGCAGTCACCACGACAAAAATAAAATACATGTCACTTGTTTTATAAAATTTTGAGTAGCTTTTTTTTTTTTTTCATGTTTATGCCTCTATTTCCTCTATAATGCCTGCAAACGATTGATTTCAGACATATTACGAGCGTTTAACATGTTTTAAGGTTTAAAAGTAATATCAATTCATGGAACATACCTAGAGCTTTACAGTGTACACGATGACATCCTCAATTTTGATTCGTTTATTTAATTTCCTTTTCACTGTTTATTTCATTTTCGTATTCCAGACACTACTCTACTGCAAAGTGAGTGCAGTTCCGTCTCTGATCAACCGTCCTGACTTGATACAAGGCAATTCTAAAGGGGACGTGGTGGTAAGTAAACAATTTATTAAAACTTGAAACGCCTAGCGTAAAAAACAACAAAAGATGATGACTGACACCGATTGCAACACCTTTCTAATGCGATGTTCCAAAAGTGCTTAAAAATATAGTCTCTGTGCTCCGATATCACCTTGAGGCATCCGAATTTTGTATTTTCGAAACCTCACGCCTGTATCTCAAAATCTAGCCAACAATGGTTCCCTGAAAAGGAGAAAAACAATTTTTTTGGCGTTCGTACATCCATTTTTATCTATAACCCTTCCATATTTGGTATCAGTAACTTAGTTCCATGATTTTTCTGCTGAATGTCCCATTACCTGTAGCTAGGTATATACTAATGTATCTTGTAACGTGGGGAATTGAATCATCGCAAACTTACAGAGGGAATTTAACAAAAAATAAGTGGAAAACATTTAAGGGA